CAAACAGTGGAGAGACCACACCATCTATTGCACAGGTAGTCCTTGACTTACAACTGGTTACTTAGCAACCGCTTGAAATACCTCCCCGGAGCTACTCACCGGACGACTCGGTTTCGAATTCTGACAGCCGCCCCCTCCATGGTTATGCGTTAACATTTTGAGCAGCTGCCAACCGGCCCACATTTACGGCCGTTTGCATCATCCGCAGTGCCGTCAGCAAGATTCGTGACGGGGTTTTATTTCCCAGAAACTGGTATTCCCTTCCAGCTTAATGACTGGCACAACTTATGACCTAATTTCATGAATTACAGTTGTAAGTTGAGGACAACCTGGCACTTTCAACTCTAGTAAAGTTTTCGGTCCTCAAAAGGACAGAAAGTGAGAAAGAAAAAGGCACCCAGGAGTATGGCCAATGGTCTTCTGTCATCGCTGGGGGGGGGGGAGAGACATCAAAAATAAATAGAAAAGAGACACATGAATAAGCTGAGTATGGGGAAAGCATGAGAGTCCAGCTCTGCAGAAGTGTCTCATACTCAAACCCCAATGAAACAGGAAAAACTAATTAAGATAAGGCCATGGGATGTTTATCCTTACTGCAGATTAAATAAAAACATATGAAGAACGGTTGCAGGAATTGGGTATGTTTAGTGTAGTGAAAAAGAAGGACTGGGGGTGACATAGCAGTGTTTCAGTATCTCAGGGGCTGCCCCAAAGAAGAGGGAGTCAAGCTATTCTCCAAAGCGCCTGAAGGCAGGACAAGAAGCAACGGATGGAAACTGATCAAGCAGAGAAGCAACCTAGAACTAAGGAGAAATTTCCTGACTGTGAGAACAGCCCAATCCAACTCAGAGTTGTTGTAGGGGGAAATGGGAGGAGGGAGTGTGATGTTCAATGCCTTGAACAACAATAAAATGAATTTTGCCTATATTCGCAAAAGGTTATGTTAGCTATACAATGCCACATGTCTTACAAATCCATATTTGGGAAGTGGGCTGCACACATGAAATACCAAACTGTCGCAAAAGATGCACACCACCCAACCAGTCTGCCGTGATGAAAAAGGAAGGTGTGCATTCTATTAAGCACTATGCATTGCCCGCACAATTTAGGATTCATCAGAATTCAGCTCTGCAATGCAGGCCTATCTGGTGAACACGTATAATTGCCAGGGGTCGATGCCTATTTGAAATGCAAACAAGCCCAACTAGCTTTAAAAAAAATGGCCTTGTGTAACTCGAATGCATAACCATGTGCCCAGGAAGACGTAAATGGTCCATTGGTCCTATGTACTATTTTCTGAAGCTGCACATCTCCTAATCACAGGGAACTTCATGAATTAAAAGAGCAAATCTATATTCCTTACAGTCCAAGGAAATTCATGTTCTATCACATCTTTCCTTGGAATGTAATATGACATACTGTACATTGTGTGACTGCCTTGATTTCCCCAAACCTGCCCCCCCCTCAAATTCTGAACTTGGTTAGAATGAACAATGACTAGCTCAAAATCACATTCAGAAACTTCAACTAAGGAGGGACTTTTTACTTATCTCCCGAGGCCTATTTTGAAAACTGTAGCAACATTCAGCATGGCTGTATTCTCACAACACACAGAACCATAAGTTAGCCAAACACATTTAAGACTAATCACTCTACAAATCCAATCTGCATAGTTCATTTATGGATTATTTTACTGTGTTAACCCACAAAACTGGAGTAATTCAGTAATTCGGACTCTAGAGCCAGGCTCAGGAATTCCTGCTGGCTCAGGAATTCTGGGAGTTGAAGTCCACGAGTCATAAAAGAGCCAAGGTTGCCTACCCCTGCTCTAGAAGCTCCACTTTACCATTATGGGAAAAGAATGCCAAGATGGAAAGTCTTAGCCCAGATCCAGCCTCTTTAATGTTCTTTGAAAAGTGAACATTAAGTAAGTTTATAGGGGCCTGTAGTGTAGCCCTATTCACTAGTCAGATGCTTAGGACTGAAACCTAAGTGAAAACATACACACATTTAACCAGAAGGAACTGATTAAGGCTAACTAGAAAAATTATACATTCAAAGAATAGTAATTCTTCTATTCTCCCACCTCGTTCATGCTTGTCCTAAATGAATCGTGCTTTTCAGAGTCTCCAGCAAGATCAGTTATCTGATCATTTTAAATTGGAAAAGCCAGATATTAAATTTGGCACCTTCTGCATGTAGAATTACGGTATTGTGGTGCAATAATTAAGGTGCTGGACTAGGAAACCATGATTTTTAGTCCTCGTTTAGGTTTGAAGCTGATGGGTTGACTTTGGGCCAGTTTTTCATTCTCAGCCCAACCCATTTCACATGATTTGTTATTGTAGGGAAAAGGGAGCAGGATAGACAGTGCCCTGATTTGTTTGTACAAATGAAGGCAAGATGTAAGCAGAGGTAGCAACTTAAATAAGAAATTGTTGAAATCCAAGGAGCAGAGGTCTATCAATTACCATATGCCTAAAAGTTCTACAACACAAGCCTATGGAGGTCTGCTCAGAAAGGAGGTTTACTGAATTTAATGGGACCTGCCCCCAATATAATACTATAATAACAAGAGCAGAACGGCCCTTCCAAGTGAGGGTCCTTTTCTTCGAAATCAGTGCTTCTCAAACTTGCCAACTTTTAAGACACGTGGTCTTCAACTCCCAGAATTCCCTGGCTATGCTAGGATGGCTGGGAAATCCTGGAAACTGACATTCACATGTCTAAAGCTTGCCAAGTTTGAGAAACGATGTTTTAAACGCTAGTTAGCCAGATGACAAAAGCCAGGGGAAATATTAGTCCAAATAAAACCTCCATTTCCGGGCACCAGGAAGGCCCCCTTCTTGCTTCTGGGACTCCTAATGGAGACAAGCCTGCGGGGGTGTCAGGCACCTGCCGGTGGGGTCCCAGCGAAGTTAAAAAGCGGGGCTGCTTGTTCACCAGGCAGGCAAAACCTAACCCACGCCGTCTTTTTCCTCCATATGCCTTTCGGACTTCAACTCCCAGAATTCCCTGCACCACTCAGCCATTGGCTTTACCGCACATGGGATTCTGGGAGTTGAAGTCCAAAAGGCTAAAGAAAGCTGCTTGCAGAAAGGGGGGGAAAATGCACCCCTGCGGGCGCCTCGAGCTACGGCACCGCCTTCCGGGAAAGGCCGAGGGAAGATTATCCAACAAGCTCGCAAAAGGAGCCGCGTGTTCTACCCCCGTCACGGCCACACTTACCGTCCCCGCTCGTTCCGCCGGCGGCGCTCTTACGTCGACGGCGCGCCGCTGCCCGTCGCCCGCCACGATTGGTGGAGAGTCCGGCTTCTCCCATCAGCCCTTGCGACGGCGCGCAAAGCTGGCCCCGCCCACGCCCTTATGACGCTCGAGAGAGACGTTTGAGGGGGGGCGAAATGGAGCGCACGAATAATACGAAATAAAAACGAGTCTGGCTTACGTGGGAAATGCTTGCTTTTCTTTCGTCCTTTCTTTCCTTTGTGTGGATCCGCGTTCTTTCCCCGAGTGTGGGCAGAATGAAATTCTGGGTGGCGGCCATGAGACGCCTCCCTAAATCACGACCAGCGAGGCTTCGTTGCTATGGAAACAGAAGGCCCTACAGCTTTCATTCGGTGGCCATGAACAAAATCTAAGGGGGGGGGAAGAGAGCGGGGTGATAACTCATCTCTAACCCATCTGCAAAAAAAGGAAGAATAAAACTTAACGTAAAGTCAGAGCATGAAAGCAACCACTGATTTATTATAGGTAGCCCTCGACGTGACAATAATTGGGACCGGCATTTCCATTGCTAAGCGAAGCCGTGACCTTTCTTTGGCCATGATTCGTGGGTGAATTGTGCAGCCGCGAAGTGAATCTCATGGGCTGTTAAGCGCACCCAGCTTCTCTCCTGGGCTTTTGCTTGTTGGAAGGCAGCTGGGAAGGATGCAAATGGCAACTGCATGACCCTGGGGTGCTGCCACCATCATAAATACATCCCCGGTGGACAAGCGCCTGAGAGAGAGTAGGGGGAAAAAGCCACTTCATGATCTTCATAGCAGTATCTAAACTAGACCCAACGAAGGGGTTAGACTAGAGGACCTCCACGGTCCCCTTCCTGCCCTATGATTCTTCCCGTTTTCTAACCCCCAGCTGAGGGGTTGGGGATCTTGTGGAAAACGAAAGAACTCTTACGAATTCTAGAGGGGTTTAGCAGAGAAGTTTATTTGCGCAAGGTTCAGAGCATATTAGAGATAGGCAATTCTGAACGAGGAGGGCGGGATTAGACTTCAGTTTTTATACTACCCTCCTTAAAGAACAAAGGGCTACACATTGAAATACACACTGTGATACATTAGGAGCGTTTCTCACAGGCATAGAATGGAAGGTTTTGCTACATACAAAGTATCCATGTGCAGAGCGCATTTGGTTGCCACATATTACTGACACAGAACTTTCCCATTGAATTTTCCCAGTGATTATGCATTACATCATTGTTGTAGCAATTATGCAGACACATCATTATTGCAGTTATGCAGACAAATCATTATTCTAATAATTGTTCAATTTACTACATTAATAGCAGTATCTAAACTAGACCCAACGAAGGGGTTAGACTAGAGGACCTCCATGGTCCCCTTCCTGCCCTATGATTCTTCCCGTTTTCTAACCCCCAGCTGAAGGGTTGGGGAGAACCCAGGAGAACCCATAAAGACCTAAATGTGCTTTCTTGCTAAGGATGGGCAACTATCTTGACTTCAACACCTGTGGACTTCAACTCCCAGAATTCCTGAGCCAGCACAGCTGGCTCAGGAATTCTGGGAGTTGAAGTCCACAAGGTCTTCAATAAGGCTCCCAGGTTGGCTAGCCCTCGCGGAGCGCAGCGAGCCCCGCAGAAAAGCGGCGAGAGGGCGTCCCAGGGCCGGGCCTAGAAGGCGAGGCGAGGCGGGGCGTCGTGCAGCGGGTCCTCCCGGGTCGCTGGGAGGCAGGCGAGCGCCCGCCCGGCCGGCCCCGCAGAAGGAAGCGGCGAGGCGCCGAGGTGCAGCCCGACCGCCGGCCCCGCCATGCCCTACGCCAACCAGCCCACGGTGCGCATCACGGAGCTGAGCGACGACAACGTCAAGTTCATCATCGAGAACACCGACCTGGCGTGAGCAGCGGCAACCGGGCGCCCGCCTCCCCCTGCCCAGAGCCGGCCCGGGCCCGGGGACGGGGGGGTCTCTGCACGGCCAAGCCGCCCTGGACACGCGGGGCTTTCCCTGCCCCGTCCCTGCGTGGGGAGATCCAGCCAGGGCCAGGGACACGCAGGACTTTCCTTGCCCCATTCCTGCGTGGGGAGATCCAGCCATGGCCAGCAGGCCTGGACAGGAGGATCTCTCCCTCCCCCATCCCTGCATGGGGAGATCCAGCCATGGATAAGCCGGTCTGGACATGCAGGACTTTCCCTCCCCCATCCCTGTGTGGGGAGATCCAGCCCCGGCCAGCAGGTCTGGACAGGAGGATCTCTCCCTCCCCCATCCCTGCATGGGGAGATCCAGCCATGGCCAGCAGGTCTGGACAGGAAGATCTTTCCCTCCCCCATCCCTGCGTGGGGAGATCCAACCAGGGCCAGCAGGTCTGGACAGGAGGATCTCTCCCTCCCCCATCCCTGCATGGGGAGATCCAGCCATGGATAAGCCTGTCTGGACACACAGGACTTTCCCTCCTCCCCCACCCGTGTGGGGAGATCCAGCCACAGCCAGCAAGTCTGGACACGAGGATCTTTCCCTCCTTCCCACCTGTGTGGGGAGATCCAGCCATGGACAAGCCCGTCTGGACATGCAGGTCTTTCGCCCCCAACACCCCTGCGTGGGTATATACAGCCACGGGCAGCTGGTCTGGACACGTGGGTCTTTCCCTGCCCCATCCCTGCGTGGGGAGATCCAGCCACCACCAGTTGGTTTGGACCCATGGGTCTTTCCTTTCCCCACCTGCATGTGGGGAGATCCAGCCACGGCAGCAATGGGGGGGATGTTGGGCGGTTTGCCAATAGCCCTGAAAAGAGGGACTTACTACTGTTTTTCACACTTATGACCAGTGCAGCACCCCCATGGATACGTGATCAAAATTCAGATTGCTTGGCAACTGGCATGTACTTATGACGGTTGCAGTGTCCCGGGGGAGGGTCACGTGCTCCCCTTTTGCGACCTTTTGGCAAGCAAAATCAACGGGGAAGCCAGATTCTCTTAACAACCCAGTTACTAACTTCACAACTGCAGCGATTCACTTAGCAACTGTGTCAGGAAAGGTCGTAAAATGGGGCAAAACTCTCTTAACAACTGGCTTGCTTAGCAATGGAAACCTTGGCCTCGATTATGGTCGTAAGGCGAGGACTACCTATACTGCAATGGGGTCTTGATGGGGCTGCCCTTGAAGGTCAAGCTGCAAGTGGTTTGGCATGGGGGGGCAGGCCCACTGCTTTCTCAAACTGGGCAACTTTAAATCAGAGTGACTTCAACTCCCAGAATTCTCTCTACAGCAGGGGAAATTATGGTTCATCGCCCAGTCAGCCAGATATTCAGACTGGATTTGGAATTCTTACCCACCTATCAAGTCCTTCCTAGAACTGGGATAATTATTACAAACTATTGTAATTTAGATGTCGTGAATATTGTGTGGTTTTTTTATTCCAGAGTCGCAAATTCCATCAGGAGAGTGTTCATAGCAGAAGTTCCCATTATAGGTAATGTCCCCGACATCTGTCACGTTCTCTCATTCATTCACTTTCTGTTTGTATTAATTTGGGAAGAAAATTCATTGTGTTTACTTCGCTCTTATTTTGTGTTCAGCTATAGACTGGGTTCAGATTGACGCCAATTCGTCAGTGCTGCACGATGAGTTCATTGCACACAGGTTAGGTGAGTACTCATGAAACAGAAGAAAAAAGCTTTTTTGTCTTGTAAATTTTCATTTTATTTCATTCAGAAAATGGAAAATACAAGAGAAAAAAATTACAAAAAAAAAACCCCAGAAGGAAAAAGCATCTCTAGGAATTCTCTAGATCAGTGTTTCTCAACCGTGCCAATTTTAAGATAGGTGGACTTCAGCTCCCACAATTCCCCAGCCAGCTATGCTAATTCTGGGAGTTGAAGTCCACATACTTTAAAGCAGAAGTCCCCAACCTTTTGGGCACCAGGAACCGGTTTCGTGGAGAGAGGTTTTTCTGTGGACCGGAGAGGGAGTGGTTTTGTGTGCTGCCTGCATCCCACGGATGGGGTCTCACTTGTTTGTGCGGCCCGGTTGCTGGCATGCTGCAGCCCGGTACTGGTACACGGACCGAGGGTTGGGGACCCCTGCCTTAAAGTTAGGAATGGCGAGAAACACTGGTGTAGATTAAATTAGAATTATTGCTATTTACATGTACTCTGCCAGATAGTTCTGACTGGATTAGAACTTTTGACTATTTTTCATCATCAATTAATTTCTCTCCTTTTAGGTCTGATCCCACTTACCAGCGACGGTGTGGTTGATAAGCTGCAATATTCCAGGGTGAGTCTAAACCAGCCATAAACTATATTTCTGGAGGATCACTATGAGCAGAGAGATAAAGACGGAGGATCAAAATTCCTTTTTCAATTCTTCTCCCAAGGCGCCCTTGCTGCAGAATGCTAAATTAATCATAGGAGTAGTATTAATAAATTAAATTTACATGCTGTCCAACTCCCTGTGACTTCTTGTCCTAGATTGCACTTTTGTTATGGTGATTATTTATTAAATTTCTCTTCCGCCAGCTTTGCTGGACTCAGGTTGGGCTTACAATACAATGCATTTTTTTTATAAAATGTCCGCAATGCAAACTTCCAACACAATGCGGTGCCATTAAATCACAATATAAAAACAACCAAAACAATTAACCAAAGATGAACAGTCTGGCTTTCTAGACTTTCAGAAGACCAGGCCTATAATTCGCTTGCATGTCTTTAGTTTCTAGGTTCGGCCTGCTTTATTTATTTATCTTGTGACGCATTCACATCATATGTCAGTAAAAAGGAACACGGGGTAAAATACAAAGCATAGAATATAAAATCTGAAATCTTAACAGGAAGATTACAAACTAAGTCGCAAACATATATATATATATATATATTAACAGCCAGGAAACCGGTGAAATCTCCATTACAGGCTCTGCTTTGACCTCTGCCACTCTGTGTTGCATAGTTTGGGTTTTTTTGGCCCCGCCGTCACCGTTCAGGGATGGCATTTTGCTCCGCTTATAGAGGGCATCTGCGCATCTGCCATGGCCAGGGCCAATTCGGCCCAGTGTTTGGCCTCATTTAGAACCGAGGTCCCCAACCCCCGGTCCGTGGACCGGTACCAGGCCGTGATATGCCAGCAACCGATCCGCACAAACAAGCAAAGCCCCATCCGCGGGATGCAGGCAGCACACAAAACCACGCCCCCTCCGGTCCGTGGAAAAAACCTCTCTCCAAGGAACCGGTCCCTGGTGCCCAAAAGGTTGGGGACCTCTGCTTTAGAGGACTGACATTCCCTGGGTGAGTTGAGCTCCAGAAGGATCCCTCATCCTTCCCGTCTCCCCTTTTTTTTTTTCTCAGGACTGCAACTGTGATGAGTTTTGTCCCGATTGTTCGGTGGAGTTCTCTCTCGATGTCCGGTGCAACGAGGACCAGACCCGGCATGTCACATCTCGGGATTTGATCTCCAACAACTCCCAAGTTATACCGGTCAGTGTCCTGTTCTCTCGCTCTCTCCACATGGCAATCCTCGAGGTTGGGTCAAGAGACGAGCAGGGCCGAGATTCCAAGGAAGCAACTTGATGGCTGCAGACTGTTTGCAGATTCTAGAAAGCTTGTGCAGAAACGCTTCCTCCCTGCGAAGGACAACGCACGTTATTTGTTGTTATTTATTATGGTTCTTAGTCCATAACTCTATTCAGGCTTCACGAGTTGAACTGTCAAACCTGCTTCAACTTGGGCTTCTAAATAAAAACGATCCCTACCTCCATTTGTTGAGAAAGGCATGGTTTACTCAAAGCAAAGTGAATGCGGCCGCGCGGGCGGTGTTGGGAGGGACTCGTCACTCCCACGTTACGCCGCTTCTGCGCGAGCTGCATTGGCTACCGGTGGCCTTCCGGGTGCGCTTCAAGGTGCTGACCATCATCTTTAAAGCGCTCCATGGCACCGGACCTGGTTACCTTCGAGACCGCCTCCTGCCACAGATTACCCCCCACCGACCTGTACGCTCCCACAGAGAGGGTCTCCTCAGGGTGCCGTCGGCCAGACAGTGCCGGCTGGCGACCCCAAGGGGGAGGGCCTTCTCTGTGGGAGCTCCCACCCTCTGGAACGAACTACCCCCAGAGATCAGGGTGATCCCTGATCTCCCTTCCTTCCGCCGCGCCCTCAAGACGTGGTTGTTCCAGCAAGCGGGACTGGCCTAGGGGATTTTATAGGGGTTTTAATTACTTTTAATTGGACACTTTCAAATATTTCGTTTTAATTAAAATTTTAATTAGGTGTAATATGTATTTATGTTAGCTTTTTATCATCTGTCAGCCGCCCTGAGTCCGAAAGGAGAAGGGCGGGATATAAATGCAATTAATAATAATAATAATAATAATAATAATAATAATAATAATAATTACGGCAGTTCAAAGCCAGAACGGAGAGCTTGTGTGTAAAATTTTCCCAGTTAACTTTCCTTCCTTGCTCCCTTCCCATTGCTTGTCTCTCATTGTCCAAACGATTTTAAAAGAGAAGTTTTGGAAACAGTCACTCTACGTGTGGCGTTCTTCTCCCAGGAAAACAACCTTGGAAACTTCGTAGGGGCTCACCGAGAAATCTTCTCACAGTTCAGCTTCATTTTACCCCAAGCCTTTGCCCTCCCTTCCAGCCTCCCTCCCCCCCAGGGGTTTATGGCTGACTGGCATTGTCCTGCTTTCCTTGTTCTAACTTTCCTTTCTCCCCTGCAGGTGACATCCAGGAGAAGGGACAATGATCCCAATGACTACGTTGAACCAGATGGTACGTTCCCAAGCGTGGCTGGCTGGGGAATTCTGGGAGTTGAATTCCACAAGTCTTAAAAGTTGCCAAGTTTGGAAACCCCTGCTTTAGAAAGAAGAAGCATTCTGGCTGATCTATGAGCCGTCACTTGAGTAGTGGATACCACCGCTGTAGTTGGTAATAAGAGCCCATTGCTATTGGATAGCTATAAGCTTGGGCAGATGATGGTGGTGATGATTAAGGAAAGTATCGGGGTGGAGAAGACTTTTTCTGAGCAAGACATCCCACATCTTACTTTATAGCAGTGGTTCTCAACCTGTGGGTCGGGACCCCATTTGGGGTCGATCGACCATTTCATGGGGGTCGCCAAGCAAGGCTGTCCGCCATTTTTTTTGTCCGCCATTGTTTTGTCCGCCATTTTTTCCCCCTTTTCCAGCGGGTGCCTTACCTCCCTTGGGCTGGGCCAGCTGGTGGTCGGCTTGCTCCGTCTCTGCTGCTTTCCAGCTACACCTCGGCCGGCGCAGGGGGCGGAACCACGCATGCGCGGCGCTCCCGGGCAGGGAAAGTCCTCGACTTACGACCGGTTGGGTAGTCCTCGACTTACGACCGGTTTAGTCCTTGACTTACGACCGGTTGGGGTCGCGGCATTAAAAAGGTTGAGAACCACTGCTTTATAGCAATAGCACTTAGACTTCTATACCGCTTCACAGTGCTTTACAGCCCCCTCTAAGTGGCTTTTGCCCCCAACAATCTGGGTCCTCATTTGACTGACCTCTGAAGGATGGAAGGCTGAGTCAACCTTGAGACTTCACGATTGAACTCCTGGCAGTGGGCAGAGTCTGCCTACAATACCGTTTTTTAACCCCTGCGCATCATGGAGGGAGGGAGGGAGGAATAGAAGGAAGGGCAATAGCAATAGCAGTTAGACTATATAAACTTATACACCGCTTCACAGTGCTTCACAGCCCTCTCTAAGCGGTTTATAGAGTCAGCATATTTGTCCCCAACAATCTGGGTCCTCATTTGACCGACCTCGGAAGGATGGAAGGCTGAGTCAACCTTGAGCCGGTCAGGATCAAACTGCTGGCAGTGGGCAGTGAGTTAGCCTGCAATACTGCATTCTTCATTTATGGGCACCCATCACGATTCTGATAAGCCTCCAGTCCAACAAGATGAACCGTTGTTCTTTTTTTAGACATCCTGATTGTCAAGCTACGCAAAGGCCAAGAGCTAAGGCTCCGGGCCTATGCTACGAAGGGCTTTGGTAAGGAGCATGCCAAGTGGAACCCCACAGCAGGTGTGGCCTTTGAGTACGATCCAGACAACGCCCTGCGTCATACAGTCTACCCCAAGCCCGAGGAATGGTAGGTTTCCGTAAACCTTATATTGTTAGGTTCTTGTTTGGTCAATCAGATGTCTTCTGATTTTTGTGACCTGAAAGACATCTTTTCTCCAGGACATATTTTGACATTCACATCTTACCACCTTGACTTCTGACATCCTGTTTTTTTTTAATGTCTTTGATCTTCTTCAAGGGTCTTCTCTAGGGGTGTTTACCTTTGCCCCTGGCCCCATCAACTCTGTGTTTCTGTCTCCTTCCAGGCCAAAGAGTGAATATTCTGAAATTGATGAAGATGAAGCCCAGGCTGCCTATGACCCCAACGGGAAGCCTGAAAGGTGAGGGATCAGGTACCTGAACTAGATTTTCTCCAACTGGAACTCAGCTGGTTGGACAAGACTACAGGTACCGTGTTTCCACGAAAATAAGACCGGGTCTTATATTAAATTTTGCTCCAAAAGACGCATTAGGGCTTATTTTCCGACTGGGTCTTATTTTCATGGAGACATGGTAATCCTTGACTTGGTAGTCCTTACAACCAATCACTTAGGGATCGTGGAAAGATACCATGGACTTCCCTGGGGGTCTGTATGACCTGGGTTTGAAGTGACAGTGGTCTCCCTCCCCCCTGCAGTCAGATGACCACACTTTGGACACGGCAACTGGGCTGCATTTACAGACGTTTGCGGTGTCCTATGGACACGTCACCATGTTATCCAATGTTTTTCCCCAAAACCAGCATTTATTTCCAGTTTTTGTAAAAATGTCTCCCCAGCAAACCATTGGTTTGCTTAATGGCCAGGATCTGCTTAAGAACTGCAGTAATTTGCTTAACAGACACTACAATGAAGTCATAAAATTGGGTCAGTAATGTGGGTGACCCAGTTCACAACAGTAATGAGTTATAACTGGTGATGGGCATGTTCCATTGCAGTCATAACTCAAGGATTACCTGTGGTCTAAACAGCTCATTAGGGCGATGGAATTCTCTTACCTCCCCTGAAACCAGTACAGTGCTATGTTCACACTGCAGTTTAACCCATGTTTTCTTTTAATCCTGGCTTGTTGAACACCATAAATAATGGTGCTGAAAACCAATGATAATGGGATCGAATGCCAAGGAGCCCAGGGAATTGTCAATTCAGGGGCCCATCAGTGCAATAATTAAATTAATAAAACCGCAGGTTACAAACCCCAAATGCTGGGTTTGAATCGTGGGTTAAATTAAGGCCCTCCAACCTTTTTTATCCCTGCTCAGGTTTTACTACAATGTGGAGTCCTGTGGTTCTCTGCGTCCTGAGACCATTGTGCTCTCGGCCTTATCAGGCCTGAAGAAGAAGCTGAGCGATCTCCAAACTCAGTTGAGTCAAGTGATCCAGAATGAAGTGTTGACCATAAACTGATGTTAGTTAACTGCTTGGAACAACCCTGGTTTCTGGGAATGATAAAAGCAGCCGAGATCAGAAGCGGGCCTAATTTGATCAGCGGAAACTCTGCCTCTAAATCCGATACGCATTGGTGTTTTTCTCTTGCTAACTTTGGGTCAAAACAGTATTGCTTGTTGTAAATCAGTGTTTGTCAACCTCAGCCATTTTAAAATATGTGGACTTTGAATCCCAGAATTTCCTGGCCACCATAATGCATGGACTTTAACTCCCATGTTGGCTGAGGAATGCTGGGAGTTGAGGTCCATACATCTTAAAGTTGGTGAAGTTGAGAAACAATCTTTCTAAATTGCACTCAGCATTCTCTAACAAAATATTGGCCGTAGATCAGAGATGTCCAACCTTGGCATATTTAAGGCTTGTGGACTTCAACTCCCAGAATTCTCCAGGCAGCCATGCTGATTGGGAATTCTGGGAGTTGAGGTCCACAGGTCTGAAAGTAGCCAAGGCTGGACACCCCCTTGAGAATAAAACCACCCACCTTCTCTCTCGTTCTCATCTCTTCTGAGTGAGAAATCTCCAGTTTGAGGAAGGTCCATGTTATCCAACAGATGTTTGTTCATACGTAATAAAAATAAATTCTCTTTTGAGAAAGCGACGCCCGCCTTTTTATTTTTCCTTCCAGCTCAGAACATGCTCCAGAGTTTGACAGTATCTGTACAAAGATGTGGAATTTCTTCCCTATCAAATACTCCTTTAAAAAAAAATGGATTCCTTTCCTCAGCCTGTTTGTTTTGTGGATCAGGTAAAACCATAGGTTTACGAACCTAGTATAGGCAGTCCTCAATTTATAACCATTCATTTAGTGACTATTCGAAGTTACAACGGCACTGAAAAAGTGACATGGCCGTTTTTCACACTTACGACCTTTGCATCATCCCCAATGCGATCAAAATTCAGACGCTTGGCAACTGGCATGTACTTACGACGGTTCCAGTGTCCCGGGGTCACGTGATCGCCTTTTGCCACCTGACAAGCAAAGTCAATGGGGAAGCCAGATTCACTTAACAACTGTGTTACTAACTTAACAACAGCAGTGATTCACTTAACAACTTAAGTGCAGTTGTGCATCCAGTTTTGGTCACCACATTACAAAAGAGATGTTGAGACTTTGGAAAAAGCGCAAAGAAGAGCAACTAAGATGATTAAAGGCCTGGAGACAAAAACCTGAAGAACGATTGCAGGAATTAGATCTGCCCAGTCTAGAGAAAAGGAGGACTAGGGGTGACATGATAGTATTCCAGTATTTGAGGGGGTCAACTTATTTTCCAAAGCACCTGAAGGCAGGACAAGAAGCAAGGGATGGAAACTGACCAAAGAGAGAAGCAACCTGGAACTAAGGAGAAACTTCCTAACAGGGAGGACAATTAACCAGTGGAACAGCTTGCCACCAGAAATTGTGGGCGCTCCACCTCTGGAGGCTTTTAAGAAAGAGACTGGACAGCCATTTGTCTGCAATGGTATGGTCTCCTGCTTGAGCAGGGGGTTGGACTAGAAGACCTCCAAGGTCCCAACTCTATTCTGATCGATTGAACTGTAGCAAGATTCACTTAACAAACATGTTACTTACTTAACAACTGCAGTGATACAGTGGTCAAAGTTCAGTAAGACTTTCTAATAAGTGGTTTGGAGAAATGAAGGAAAAGATCTGGGCATCACTGCCGTAGCCTGTCTCTTGATGGTAGGCACAAAGGTTTAAATAGCAGTATACACAAACCTGCCATACTAAATGTAACCACTCGGTGGCACCAGGCACTTGTGGATGAAAATAATGTCTTGAGTTTGAAGCGAACAGCACCAACTACTGTAGTAAGACTGCCACGCTTACCAGCAAACAACCTGTAAAAGAGCCAAGGTTGCCTACCCCTGGTATAGGGCCTCCTGCTGTGGGCAGGAGTTGGACTAGAAGACCTCTAAGGTCCCTTCCGACCCTATTATTCTGTTTTAAAGGGCTTGGGACTCCGTCTATGCCATCTGGAGGGAGCTAGGAACACCCTAACCCTGATAACCGATTGGCTCAGATTCTGCAGGCATTTTGTATAGCCTTGAAAAGAGGGCTGTTTTCTCAGGAGTGAGTTCTAGTCCTGCTTTAGACATGAAGGCCGGCTGCATGACATTGGGCCTATCACTAGGAGACTGTGAGTTCTAGTCCCGCCTTAGGCATGAAAGCCAGGTGGGTAACTTTGGGCCAATCAGCAGGTGTTTGTGAGTTCTAGTCCCACCTTAGGCAGGAAAGCCAGCTGGGTGACTTTGAGCCAATCGCCGGGAGAATTGTAGGTTCTAATCCCGCCTTAGGCAGGAAAGCCGGCTGCATGACTTTGGACCAGTCCCTCTGCTTCAACCCAACCTACCTTGCAGGGTTGTTGTTATTGGGAAACTAGGAGGATGGAGGAGGACCAGGCTTGTTCACCACCTTGAGTAGCTCATAAAGTAATAAAGCTGGGATAAAAATTTGATAAACAATAAAATGCCTCTTGGTAAGAATTTTTTCTTTATTCTTTCCCTCCGCGTGGAGTGGGAAAGCGTAAGAAGGCAGGGAGGCCGCCCACTGTCAAAAGAAATAATAGTGCAGACAAAGACAGGTTATTCATATACACACACAAACACACACTCACACCCTCTTAGCCCCTTAAGAACTGAGCAAAGGTTGGAATACCACCTGGGGAAATGCATGCCAAAAAAAAAATATCTTCTCTCTTTTGAAAAGATGTTCAAAGCTTCCTCCCTTTCATGGAATTCCAGGTGAACTTCTAGGGAAAATGCAGCATTCTTGCTGTGCAGATTTCTCTACACACACCAGCTCCCTCCCTTTTGCCCTGGGCCTCCAAAGACTTCAGTCCTGCTGGAGCATTACCCTCCACAACTGTAAGTTGCTGATGGCAGCAGTACAGCTAACTGTGAGAAAAATACTTCAGCCCTAAGCCATGTCCCTCATAATCTTGGCAAGAGGGTGCCAGCACGTTTCCCTGATCCCGTGTGCCCTGCCTGGGCACAGCTCATAAATAAGGGCCTTATTGTCTTTGAGCTCTAGGACGGAGGAGAACATTCAGAAATGTATGTTGGAGAGGCTACTATCAATATTTGAAGGTGGGCCTAACTTCTTGAGAAGGAATACATATTCTAAGCAGATGCTTCGAATGGTTTGCACATTGTTTCAAATAAAGGGGGGGGGAAACCGTTGCAGTGTGATTTTATTATTATGGGCAATGATCAAAGTTAAATCTACATACTAATAAAATGACAGAATAATAAGAGTTAGAAGGGATCTTGGAGGTCTTCTAGTCCAACCCCTTGCTCAAGCAGGAGACCCTATACCATTTCAGACAAGTGACTGTCCAGTCTCTCCTTCAAAGCCTCCAGCGATGGAGCGCCCACGATTTCTGGTGGCAAGCTGTTTCACTGGTTAATTGTCCTCACCGTTAGGAAGTTTCTCCTTAATTCCAGGTTGCTTCTCTCCCTGATTAGTTTCCATCCATTGTTTCTTGTCCTGCCTTCTGGTGTTTTGGAACGTAAGTTGACCCCCTCTCCTTTGTGGCAGACCCTCAAATACTGGAACACTGCTATCAGGTCTCCTAGGAAGTCCTCAGCATCACAATTGACCCACATATTTCTGTTGCTAAGTGAGACCTTTGATAAGTGAGTTTTGCCCCATTTTACATGACCATAGGGATGCTGCAAGTATGAAAAAGGTCCTCAGCACGCTGGCTGAGGAATTCTGGGAGTTGAAGTCCACAAGTCATAAAAGGGCCAAGTTTGAAGACCCCTGAGGTAGGGACTCCACATTTCCCCTCAAATTGGCATCTTCAAGGATCCTGTTTCTCAATCTCTGGAACCAGGGAATCCTGGGAGTTGAAGTCCATACATCGTCAAGAGTGGTTGGGGCTGAGAAACGCTGAGCTGTAGGAACAAGCTTCTACTTGTAGCTTTTATCTTCTCAGCTTAGGATCCACACAGGGCCATCCCTGCCCCCAAGAGAAAACGTGTCTGTCTTCTCTGGTTTTTCAGCCATCTTGTCTCTCAAAGATTCCTTCCTTCCCACTCCAGCAGTTCCTCTTGTTTTGCCTCCAGTTCAAGCTGTCATTCTCTCTCGTTTTGGAACAGGTTTCTAATTAGGTTGATGAGACTAAGGTGAGGCATCCTGTGCTTTGGGTTTCTACCTGTTCACCTGAGAACAGGTGCTGCCCTTTCTCTTCTCAAGGCAGAGAGGGAAGAAAGGACTCAGCAATGCAGGAATGAGTACAGCTAGTTCGGCTTACAACAGGTACGTCATCCCTGAAAAAAGTGGATTTTTCACACTTATGACCATTGCAGTATCCCCAAGGTCACGCTTGGCAACTGACTCATATTTATGACGGTTGCAGTGTCTTGAGGTCAGGTGATCCCGACAAAGTCAATGGGGAAGCCAGATTCACTTAATAACCGTGTTGCTACTTTAACAACTGCAGTGATTAACAAAAGTGACAAGAAAAGTTGTAAAATGGGGCAAAGCTCACCATTTCTCACAATTTTGGGCTCAATTGTGGTTGTAAGTCAAGGACTATCTACAAAAGTTTAAGTCCCAGGTAGATCAACTTGCATTTGAAGCTGTTGACAAAACTCTTGCCTTCCCCAATGTGTGGTCTACATCAGGTAGGCCTGGACCACAGCTCCCATCATCCCCAATCAAGGCCAGATGATTTCCACACATCTATAGCCACACAATTGTTATCCTATAGCCCAGGTGTTCCCAACCTTGGCCACTTTTAAGACCTGTGGACTTCAACTCCCAGAATTCTAGATGACCTCCAAGGTCCCTTCCAACTTTATTATTATTATAATTCCCCAGCCAGCTTGCTGAGAATTGCAGTTCAAGCCCACAGCAACCGATTCTCATTTACAACCCATTTGGCAGCATCCTGTAATCACAGGATTGTAATTTGTTAAGATTTTTTTAGCAAGTTCTCATCAATGCTTTGGGGGAAGATTTGCTTAATGATTGTTTGATTTACTTAAAGACCACAGTGGAAACAATGGTCAGAAATTCAGGTCCGGCAATGTGATAAAACTCATTTTATAACGGCCTGGATTTATAATGGAAATTCCTGTCCCAATAGGGGTCAACTTATTTTCCAAAGCACCTGAAGGCAGGACAAGCAGCAATGGATGGAAACCTATCAAGGAGAGAAGCAACCTGGATGCAAAATCTAGGTCCATTTGCAATGTGGTTTGCTT